TTTTTTTAATTTTTTTTTTTTAAAAAAAAAAAAAAAATGACGAAAGGACTGTCTCTAAAACAAGATTTAAGATTATTAATAAATAATCGTGGTATAGAATTTTTATGTGAAGATGAAAAGAAATTACATGCTTATAGAGCAATTTTAGCTGCAAGATCCGAAGTATTTAATAAGTTACTTTATAATGGGATGAAGGAAACTTATGAAAATCAAATTTCTTTTCCAAAAATTAATTCTGCTGGAATGGAGATTATATTAGAATATATTTATACTGGATCAGTTAAAAGAGAATCTTTAACAAAAGATAATACAATTGAAGCTTTTTTATTTTCAATTATCAGTCCTTCAAGATTTTATTATGAAAACCATTAAGAGTACTAATTTGCAAAAAATTATTCTCCAGAGTTACTATCTAAAGTATCAGAAACAGTGCCGTTAACGGAAGATAATATTATTCTCAATTTATTAGTTGAAACAGTAGCAAACATACCATTAATCAGTATTGAGTTTGGTAGATTGTCCATTACAGGCCTTAAATATCTTTTATCTATTACATATAAAAATGAAACATAATTCGCTACCCGAGAGTATATATATCAATTTTAGCAGCAAAACAAATCTCTGATGATGTATGTAGAGATCTTATGGAACAGTTACCAACTTTAGATCAGATTGAAAATAGAAATCTTACGATTGAAAATTCAATTGAAGTAGAAAATAAACTTCTTAATGATCATCAAAAGGTTACTAAAGAACTAGAACCTTTGGTTAAATATATTGATTTCAAAAGGATTAAGACTCATATACTGTATTAGCCAATATCATTGAGTTATTAGAAATTATTCCAACTGAAATAGTTTATGGTGCTTATCGAAATATAGCATTATTAAGTAATTTTAACTTAGGTGATTTTGGTGGAAAAGCTATTAATGAATTCGATTATGTGCGGGATGAGACATTGAGACAGCATGTGAGTCAAGCTCATTATTAATATGTAATATTACTACAAATATCTACAACTTATAAAAGCCTAGCACCAGATACTGTATAAAAAGTTATCTTAAAAATTTGCCAGAAAATGTTATTAAGGATAACAGAAAAATTGTACAAGCACTAGAAAATTGTAGCTCACACCAAAGTGTTAGAGCTAAGATAACTTTAGAAAATAGAGGCATTTTTGTATGAGATGTTATTATTGAGAAAGCATGTGCACATTCTTGTTTGGAGTATGTGTATTTGAATATAATTTTGCAGAAAATCAACCTACTGGGTGGGTATTACTAGTGCCATAATTCTGATACTACCATAAAAGATTATTGCCCATCAATTGGAGATGACACAGAAATTACAGTTCATTTGGATATTAATAAGAGAATTTGCTCTTTTATGATCAATGGTATAAAGTATTAAGAAGTATCAGAATGGAATTTGCCATCAAACATTCTCCAATAGTATCATTGAGATACTATCCTGATCACTTTCAAATTCAATCTCATAAAAAAATTAGAACATAGTAGAAATAATGTTGTATCATTAATTTTTTTCTTACATTATATTTACTAATTTTGAATTAGAGTATATTCATTAGTTATTTATTTTGGTGAACAAGTTGAAAATATAAAATATGTGAATGGTTTATTAGAGGTTAACAAATTTTACATGATGTTAGCCTAGTAAAATAAATAATTTGTCAATGATACATGAACATATGTGTTATGTTTGGTAATAAATAAGAATAATCAATAATATAACTATTAGGTCACGATTTATTTTTTGAGGATACAAAATTAGTTAAATGACCTTATTTGTGATCGTCATAATCACATCGTCATTGAATCTTAAAAAATGTTGAGAATTATCTTAGATCTTAAGGATTAAATACAGTATGTTATGAAGGCCTACAAATATTATCCAATTAGACTGAATTCAAAATTCGTAGATGATAGTTAACATTTCTCACTTGAATGGTTAAATAACGGCTAAACACATATATCATGGATAGCTCCCCCATGGAAACTTGCCTCTTGTTATTCTTTATATATTTTATGAAATAAAAAAAATTTATTTTTAAAATTCTATAACTGATAAAGTATAAAATTTCTTATATTGTTTACAGTATTATTTAATAAAAATATAATAAAAAAAAATATAATAAAACTATTTTTTTTTTTTAATTATTAAAATATACCGAAATAGATTACATAATTTTCTAAAATAAATTACAAAAAATAAAATTAACCCTATAACAAACCGATTAAATTAAATACAATTATTTACAATGAAAACTATATATATGTAATCTATCTATGCTATACTAAACCAAATATGACAAGAAAAAGCAATATATTAAAGTTAAAAAAACTAAAAATTTTCAATATAATGTTTAACATGTTTGTTTTTTATTCTTTTATTCTTGTCTTTAAGGTTCTTCTTCTCCGTTACTTCTGAATCTTCGTCTTCTTTCTCTTTAAATCCTTTTATACCGTCCGATAAATGTCAAAAAATATTTTATTTCCATTGTCTTTTTACTATAACTATTAAGTCCTTTTGAATTTTTTCGCAATGTCTTGCTTTTTTATTAAAGTTAATTGTTACACAAAATCAACCACTTGATGGTCCTGGTTTGAATAATTCTGGAGGGTGGTTAAATAATTTCCGAAATACAATACACAACACAAATTAAATTTGTAAAAAAGCCTTGCTTTGATCTATACTGTGTATGAATATTCTTCAAATTTCTATATCCATCAAGGTTTCAAATGATATTGATTTGTTCAATATACATAAGGTTCTAGAATATTCAAACTTAAGATTTAACTAGTATATCATGAGATTATCCATAAAACACAATTTAAACTTAATAATGTTCTACTGTGATAATCCAGTAATATAGAGATTATATTGACGTTTAAATATGGTATTTCAATTTTAAAGTTTGGCTTTAATTCTATATAATGTTTTCAATATAAATATGTCTATGTAATTTATCTGTATATTCATTTAATTTACAATTTATATCTAATATTTTCTTTAACTTTTTAAAGTACAACTAAAATTTGATTATATAATCTGAAATTTTGTAATATAATGAATCATACTGTAAACAATATATTTTATTAAATATTTATTCTAAAAAAATACTAGTTCCAAGCAAGAATGTTTAAATTTTTTTATATTTTCTTTAGTGGCTAAATAATCATGATAAAGATTAAATTTTAGATTATTAAGATATGAAGAATCAAGAATGATGAATGATATAGTAAATTAACCTGAAAAATAACAATATTGAATTAAAAAGTTTATATTAAACTTCAACTTATCAAAAAAAAAAAAAAAAAATTTTATCTTATTTAATGAAATATTATGATTGAACATTTAAGTATTTATAATTCTAAATAAATTTAATATTTTATGCAATCAGTTAATTCAAAATTATTCATATATGAGAGACAAAAATTTTTTTATCTGGATTATATGTATGAAGAATTTAATCAATAAGTTTTAAGTTTCCAAATTCGAAAGTATTTTATTATCAGAACTATGACGTAGGCGCAGTTAAATTTTCAAATGATATACGTCATCATACAATCAATTTCCTTTTTAATTATAGTTTTGCATAACATAGTACAAAATAGTGCAAATTATATAAATATTGCTTTTCAATCCAAAAATAGGTTCATCGTTTAATTTTTTTTTTTTAAAAAAAAAATGACGAAAGGACTTTCTCTAGAACAAGATTTAAGATTATTAATAAATAATCCAAAATATAGTGATATAGAAATTTTATGTGAAGATGAAAAGAAATTACATGCCTGTAGAGCAATTTTAGCTGCAAGATCCGAAGTATTCGATAAGCTACTTTATAATGGGATGAAAGAAACTTATGAAAATCAAATTTCTTTTCCAAAAATTAATTCTGCTGGAATGGAGATTATATTAGAATATATTTATACTGGATCAGTTAAAAAAGAATCTTTAACAAAGGATAATATAATTGAAGCTTTTTACGCTGCAGATTATTTTCAATTATCAGATCTTCAGGATTTTATTACGAAAACAATCAAGAGCACTAATTTCGTAAAAGATTATTCTCCAGAATTACTAACTAAAGTATCAGAAATAATGCCATTGACAGAAGATAATATTATTCTCATTTTATTAGTTGAAACAGTAGCAAATCTGCCATTAAACAGTATTGAGTTTGGTAGATTGTCCATTACAGGCCTTAAATATCTTTTATCTATTACATATGAAAAAGAAACACCATTCGCTACCCAAGAGTATGAAGTTTTTCGATATAGTGCAATTCTAGCAGCAAAACAAGTCTCTGATAATGTATATAGAAATCTTATGGAACGGTTACCAACTTTAGATCAAATTGAAAATTTAATTGAAGTAGAAAATAAACTTCTTATTGATCATCAAAAAGTTACTAAGGAACTAGAACCTTTGGTTAAATATATTGATTTCAAAAGGATTAAGACTCACATATTAGCCAATTTCATTGAACCATTAGGAATTATTCCAACTGAAATAATTTGTAGTGCTTATCGAAATACAGCATTATTAAGTAATTATAATTTAAGTGATTTTCGTGGAAAAGCTATTAATGAATCCGGTTATGTTTGGGACGAGACAGTATGTACATATTTTTCTTCTTCCCTTTTTGAACTATTTTACAAATCTGGGCCAAAGATTATTATTAAGGATAACGGAGAAATTGTACAAGCACTAGAAGGTTGTAGTTTATCCCGAAGTGTTAGAGCTAAGATAACTTTAGAAAATAAAGGCATTTTTGAATGGGATGTTATTATTGAAAAAAGTTGTAGTCGTTTTTGTGTCGGAGTATGTGCATCAGAATATTTTAATTATGAAATAGCTGCAGGATTACAATCTACTGTATGGGCATTAGGTTCTAGTGGTCATGTTCGTAATTCTGGAATTAGCATAGAATATTATTGTCCTCCATTTGGAGATGGCACAGAAATTACAGTTCATTTAGATATGAATAGGAGAACTTGCTCTTTTACGATCAATGGTATAAAGTATCGAGAAGTATCAGAATGGAATTTACCATCAAAACTTCATCCAGTAGTATCATTAAAATATCCTGGCCGCTTTCGAATTCAACCTCATAAAAATAGCTGAAACTTGAAATATTGTATCATTGATTTTTTTCTTACAAATATACTATTACTTATTTTGAATTATTGTATATTCATTAATTATTTATTAGTGTGAACAAGTTGACAATATAAAAATATGTGAATGGTTTATTAGATTATGTTAACGAATTTTACATGTTAACTGAGTGAAATAAATTATAGGTTTTTATAAAATCAAATTTGTTAATGACATATGGTATGTGATATGTTTCTGGTAATAATAAGAATAATAAATAATATAAATATCAAGTCACGCTTCATTTTTCGAAAATTTTGTTTAGAACGGTTCCTTATTTGCGATCATCATAATCACGTCGTCGCTGGTTCTTAAAAATGTTGAGAATATCTTAAGGACTAAACATGATATGAAGACCTAATCCAATATTATTAAATGATCTTTGGACAAATTTAGACTGAATTCAAAATTAGTAGATAATTAATACTTCTCGATGGTTCAAGTTTAAATAATTCTGGAGTATGGCTAATAACGATTATATATTTTCGAAGAACAGCACAGTACAAATTAAATTTGTAAAAAGTCTCACGATGAAATCAAATCTTAAGTTTGAAAAATTTAGAACATTGATGTCTATTCAATAAAAAAATATCATTTGAAATCTTGATGGATATAGAAATTTGAAAAATTCATGTATAGATCAAAGCGATATCCATAAAACAATTATTAAAGCCAAGTACTGTAACAAGTTATTTCTTTTCTAATTTATTAAATATTAAAACATATTTGAAGTTTTTTCCTTAAATTTAGTAATTATTTTATTGGATATCACGTAAATACAGCTACATTAGATTTTATTTTATGTTTTTTATTAATAAAAATACATTACTCAAATCTAGTTAAAACTATTTCAATAATGTTAGCTTTTTTCTTTAATTATGTTAAACCCAATCAGTTAAGTCGGTCTAATATTTTCTTTTAACCATTTATAGTACACACTAGACTTTGAATTGAAAAAATAACTAATTTTTGATAATTTAATCAATTAATAACTTTAAATGTAGTGTACCATGCTAATGTGTATAAAATAACTTTTACTAATTGTCTGGAGCAAAGATATATAGTACTGTATGTCTACGCACTATGATGAAAAATAATCGTTCACGTGAATCTATCCTTACGTGACGATGTGACGACGTGACGTCGTGACGTTATCCGAAATCTCTCCGGACTTATAATGGGTTTTCCGTTCCCTAGTATAAATGGATTTACTGTAAATAATATATTTAATAAAATATTTATTTTAAAAAAAGAGTTACAATGTTATATTTTCTCTTCTGCTCAGCATGACTCAAAAGTTTCTAATAAAAATTTTTTAATCAATTAGTTCCAAGCAAGTGTATATATTTTCTATATTTAATAACTGTGGTATGGTGATAAACATCATGATACCTTACATAGTTACATAATATGAGAATTTCTAAAGTTGTGTTCTAATACCAAGTAAATACATATTGATGAAATATAATCATAGGATAATTGAGAATGTAATGAATATGGTAAAGCTAACAATTCTAGAATAAAGAAATAATCCAATCACAATTCTATGCAAGTTAATTGAAAATATTGAGATATGAAATTAAAAAATGATTACTAGATAATTTCAATATAATTAATTTCATTAGAAAATTTTTTTAAAAAGAGAAGTTTTTTTTTGACAGAGAATTTTGCTAAATTTTTTTTAAAGAATTTTTATAAATAATTTTGCTGAGATTTTTTTTTTGTCATTGTGGAATTTTTTTTTTAGGAAATATTTTTTTACTATAGTAAATTATATACAATCTATTAATATTATATAATACCTAATCTTTTTCTATGTACATATTTTGCGAAGCAATGGGTTACTGTCAATAATATAATAAATATTAAATTAAAAAGTTTAAAAATAATTCATCTAATATACCGAAATAATTCAAGACGTAATTAACTTGAAAACCAATTAAAATAATTCTTTGTTTAATAAAAGATTATGATGGAACCTTTGAGTATTCATAATTCTGGATAAATTTAATATTCAGTTAATAATTCATTATATATGAGGAAAGCGAAAAAATTTTATCTACTTGCTTTATCTGTATGAAGAATTCGTATGATGAATATGATGAAGGCGCAGCTAAAAGTTTCAAATGATATACGGAAACAATTTCCTTTTTTAATATAGTTTTTACATAACATAGTACAAATTACACAGATTACATAAATATCGGCTTTTTCAATCCAAAAATAGATTTATTGTTTCTCCTTTTTTTTTGAAAAAAAAAAAAAAAAAAATGACGAGAGGATATTCGTTAGAAAAAGATTTAGGATTATTAATAAATAATCCAAAGTATAGTGATGTAGAAATTTTATGTGGAGATGAAAAGAAATTACATGCTTGTAGAGCAATTTTAGCTGCAAGATCCGAAATATTCGATAAACTACTTTATAATGGAATGAAGGAAACTTATGAGAACCAAATTTCTTTCCCAGAAATTAATTCTGCTGGAATGGAAATTATATTAGAATATATTTATACTGGATCAGTTAAAGAAGAATCTTTAACAAAAGATAATACAATTGAAGCTTTTTACGCTGCAGATTATTTTCAATTATCAGATCTTCAAGATTTTATCACAAAAACAATTAAGAGTACTAATTTTGCAAAAAATTATTCTCCAGAGTTATTATCTAAAGTATCAGAAGCGGTATCGTTAACAGAAGATAACATTACTCTCAATTTATTAGTTGAAACAGTAGCAAATATATCATTGAACGATATTGAGTTTGGTAGATTATCTATTAAAGGTCTTGAATATCTTTTATCTTTTACACACGAGAAGAAAGATATACCCTTTGCAACTCGAGAGTATGAAGTTTTTCGATATAGTACAATTCTAGCAGCAAAAAAAGTCTCTGATGATGCATATAGAAATTTTATGGAAAGGTTACCAATTTTAGATCAAATTGGAGATTCAATTGAAGTAGAAAATAAGTTTCTTATTGATCATCAAAAAGTTATTAAGGAACTAGAACCTTTGATTAAATATATTGATTTCAAAAGGATCAAAACTTATATATTAGTTAATTTTATTGAACCACTAGAAATTGTTCCAACTGAAATATTTTATAGTACTTACCGAAATATAGCATTATCAAGTAATTATAATTTAAGTGATTTTCGTGGAAAAGCTATTAATGAATCAGGTTATTTCTGGGATGAGACAGCATGTGGGTCAAAGCTTATTATTAAGGATAATGGAAAAATTGTGGAAGCACTAAAAAATTGTAGCACACATCAAAATGTTAGAGCTAAGATGACTTTTGAAGATAAGGGCATTTTTGAATGGGATATTATTATTGAGAAAGATTGTTCTTATTCTTGGGTTGGAGTATGTGCATCAGAAAATTTTATTGGAAGATCTTCAGGATCACAATCTACTGGATGGGAATTAGGTTCCAGTGGTGTTTGTCGTAATTCCGGAGAAGGTGTGGATACGTGTCCTCCATTTGGAGATGGTACAATAATTACAGTTCATTTAGATATGAATAAGAGGACTTGCTCTTTTACAGTTAACGGTATAAGGTACTATGTAAGAATATGGAAAAATTTACCACCAACACTTTTTCCAGTAGTATCATTAGCTTATCCTGGTCGCATTCGAATTCAACCTCATCAAAGTAATTAGAAACTAGTGTAATTTTATAATATAGACCTACGAACCCAATTAAATGCCACGTGACAATCAAGAAATTAAATAAGTAATCAGATCTTAATTTCTTTTTTCTAAATTTCAGTTGTAAAGTACAAATGTCGACAAATTTAATTACGTATTTTAAATTTCTTATGAAAAGAGCTTGTCCAATGATTCTTAAAATAAAATTTTGATATAAATAGGTCATGAAAGTGTTATGAAATATGAGTTTAAATTACTACCTTTAATATTGATAACGTTCGCATTGACAGATTAGATTATAATATATGATCGTGATTTAATAATCCGGGAATGACATCATTTGACCAATATCTTTTTATGTAAGTTGATCCAGGTTCCAGGTCATTCGTCTTATCATTAAAGTTATTTACTAAACACTGCAAATTTATTTATAAATAACTGGTTTAGTTAAATCAACAAAATAAGATTACTTTTATTCTTGAAATATTTTTGGATATTCGTCAGAACAAGATTTAAATAATCCAAAGTATAATGATATAGGAATTTTAATGTGAAAATTAAAAGAAATTAGACGCTTATAGATCAATTTTAACAGCAAGATCACAAGGTATTAGCTTTGTCATGGGATGAATGAGAACAAAATTTCTTTTCTAATAATTAATTTAGCCGGAATGAAGATTATATTAGAATATATTTATATTGTATCAATTAAAAAAGAATATTTAACAAAAGATAATACAATTGGATCATTACGCTGCTGATTATATTTAATTATTCAGATCTTCAAGATGTCATGATATTCATAGTATTACAACAAAAGTACAAATTTAATTTGTAAAAAGTTTTGTTTTGATTTAGTTTTTCAAATTTTTATATCCATCAAGATTTCAATAGTTAACATTTTTGTTGACATCACACAAATCTTTTGGAAGGTCAGTTTGCAATTAAAAATTGAATATTATGATAAGATTTCTAGTTTGTTAGTTTGGCTAAAGATTATAAAAAAATTCAAATTAATACTTTTTATAATTCTTTATAATAATGTTGGTACCAGTATTTGTGGTACTACTAAACTTTAATATCCAAAAAAGATCATTTTTTGCAATCCGTAATTTTGTAATATAAGCAAATAATATATTTTATTATTTTATTAAATATTTATATTTTAATAAAGAACTACAATTTTACATTTTTCTCCAAAAATTCAATATAGATAAGACTCTAAAAAAAAATTTACAATCAATATTCTCAAGCAAGAATATTTAAATTTTCTTATATTTTCTTAAATGGCTAAACATGATCTTGATGACCTAGAATTTTTTTCCTACCAGGTTAGTATTGATGAAATGATAAAACATAATCATATGATAAAATTGAAATTTTTAGACTATCGAGATTATTAAGACGTGAAAATCAAGAATGATGAACGAGATAGTAATGAGTTAAAAAGTTTAGAATATAATTCTTCTAATATATATATAGTATGCTACGAAATAACTCAAGATGTCAACTTGAAAACTAATCAAAAAAAAAAACTTTGTCTTAATAAAATATTATGATAGAAACCTATAATGAAACGAAAATTTATTTTATATAGATCACCATCATATTTTTCATCATCTAGATCTAATTTAAAAATAGTGAAATATAATTCTTCTGGAATCTTGGGTTGATCTTATTCAATAACCCATAAATCAGGAGATTTAAGACGATACTTTCTTTTGGATTTTTTTAAAATTTAAAATTCCAAATTCAAAAGCTTATTATCAGAATTATGATGAAGGCGCAGTTAAAGTCTCTAGATTTTCCCAACGTAACCTGAAAAAAATGTCACGAAAAATCACGTGATATTTTTATCGCCGGTAGTAAATGATATACTAATTGTACGTCATGCAAACAATTTCCTTTTTTAATATAGTTTTTGCATAACATTGTACAAAATAGTGCCAAACTATATAAATATTGCATTTCAATCCCAAAAATAGATTCATTGTTTAATTTTTTTTTTCTTTAAAAAAAAATAAATTTTTTAAGAAATGACGAGAGGATATTCATTAAAACAAGATTTGAGATTATTAATAAATAATCCAAAATATAGTGATGTAGAAATTTTATGTGAAGATGAAAAGAAATTATATGCTTGTAGAGCAATTTTAGCTGCAAGATCCGAAGTATTTGATAGTTTACTTTATAATGGAATGAAAGAAACTTATGAAAATCAAATATCTTTTTCAAAGATTAATTCGGCTGGTATGGAGATTATATTAGAATACATTTATACTGGATCAGTTAAAGAAGAAACTTTAACAAAAGATAATACAATTGAAGCTTTTTATGCTGCAGATTATTTTCAGTTATCAGGTCTTCTGGATTTTATTAAGAAAACAATTAAGAGTACTAATTTTGCAAAAAATTATTCTCCAGAGTTATTATCTAAAATTTCAGAAACAATGGAACCAAATCTATTGACAGAAGATAATATTCTTCTTAATTTATTGGTAGATGCAGTAGCGAATATACCATTAAACAATATTGAGTTTGGTAGATTGTCTATTACAGGTCTTAAATATCTTTTATCTTTCACACACGAGAAGAAAGATATACCCTTTGCAACTCGTGAATATGAAGTCTTTTGGTATAGTGCAATTCTAGCAGCAAAACAAGTCTCTGATGATGCATGCAGAAGTCTTATGGAACGGTTACCAACTTTAAAACAAATTGAAAATTCAATCGAAGTAGAAAATAAATTTCTTATTGATCATCAACAAGTTACTAAGGAACTAGAACCTTTAGTTAAATATATTGATTTCGGAAGGATTAAAACTCACATATTAGCCAATTTCATTGAACCACTAAAAATTATTCCAATTGAAATAGTTTGTTGTGCTTATCGAAATATAGCATTATTAAATAATTTAAATTTAAGTGATATTCGTGGAAGACCACAAATTAATAATTATGTCTGGGATGTGTTAGCTTGTGGATCAAAACTTATTATTAAGGATAACGGAAAAATTGTACAAGCATCAGAAAATATTGACAGACACCAAAGTGCTCGAACTAAGATGACATTAGAAAATAAAGGCATTTTTGAATGGGATGTTATTATTGAGAAAAAAAGCATTCGTTCTTGGGTCGGAGTATGTGCAACAGAAAATTTCAATTATGAAATGGCTGCAGGATTACAATCTACTGGATGGGTATTAGGTTCTAGTGGTTGTGTTCGTCATTCTGGAATTAGTATAGAAAATTATTGTCCTCCATTTGGAGATGGTACAAAAGTTACAGTTCATTTAGATATGAATAAGAGAACTTGTTCTTTTACGATCAATGGTAAAAAGTATCGAGAAGTATCAGAATGGAATTTACCATCAAAACTTCATCCAGTAATATCTTTATATTATCCTGGTCGCTTTCGAATTCAGCCTCATGAAAGTAATTAGAAACTAGGTGCAATTTTATCAAAATAATTGCGTCAATTAATATATTATAAATACGTAAATTAGTTGCGTAATTAATTATTAGGATAATTAAGATTTTTATTAATACACATGATAATCGATTAAATAAAGCAATTTTTTTACATTTTTAACTTTGACATTAAAATGTTGAGTATCAATCTGGAAATCTCTCAGTTAGTATAAAGTACAAATGTTTGATATAAATTTTATCATATGCTTTAAATTTCTTATAAAAAGAATATTCATTATCTCTTAATATTTTTATATAAACAGGTTATGAAAATAAAGAGTTTAAATTGCATTTAACGTTAACGTAAAACTAATAGGAAAATATTTTGTCTTTGAAGAATCCTTAACAGTGTTTATCATTCAAAGGAGTTGCCTGGTGATATTGGCCATTTTAAAATACTATTATTTCAGAGAATAAAATTATGAAAGGATAGTATTTATTAGATATTTATTAAAGTAAGATTTAAGATTATTATTAAAACAACCCAAGTATAGTCAATTTAGCGGCATACAACTGCAGACAATTCAACTTTTAACTGTTGATCAATTTTATTATGATCAAAAACAATTTCTTTTTTTTTTGATTAATATTTTTTAGGTTAGGTTCTATTAAAAAAGATAAATTGAAATATTTATAATTAATTCTTGTAAATAAAGAACTTTCGTTAAATTATTTTTCTTCGTTCTTTTTATTAAATTAAACGCAATGATCAACATACACATCATAACGAGCTAATTTATTTTTAAAATTTTATTTCATTTTTAATTTATTTAAGATAATATTTAATTCAGTTAATATAAATTATGTGGTTTGTGATTTCGGAACGTTAGACCCTGTAAAAAAGTCGATCCGTTTTTTATACTTCCGTAATATATTCCCGAAATTAATAATCTTATATCATGGAATTTATCGAATTATTTACATTTTCTGTGAATGAATCCGTGAAAGGCTCATATTTACGGAGTTTTTACAGAAATAACGGATAAAATTTTTTGTAGGGAGATTGTCTTTTTTATTGTTATAGAAATGGATTTGTTAATACAAAAGCCATTTATTATTTGAGTACTATATTCATTCTTAATTTTTCTATGCCTCCTCAAGATTAGTGCAAAGGTACTATGGAAGATATGATTATCATGATCTCAATTCAAAAAATGCATCTATCGATACAAAATTAAATAAAATATCGTGAAATAAGATCCTTCAATATTGGTCAACTTACTTCATAATAATAATTTACTATCTATACGGATATCATGAAATACCTTACATTTCTTTCATTTACCATATTTACAAGACAAGGTTTATTTAATTAATCATATAATATTATTATTAATCTAAAAATTATTTTCCTAGCGTAAAGACAAAAAAAAGCTTATGTAAAAAATGAACAAACGTCATCATCTAGCTTTGATTATCGTTTATTAAAATAAATTTATTAATTTTATTCAAACTAAATTTATTTTTGATATGTAATTTGGCAACGGTTTTATTATAAAGTTTTTATCATAGGCTTTTTACTATTTTAAAAATTATAATGATGTATACATTACCGAAAAAATAAAAATGCGAAGTAAAATTATTTATTACTTGAACTTTACCAAAACTTGTCTAAATTTGGACCTAAATCTCCTGATATACTGTACTAAATATCCGGACCACAATGGTTAGTATATGTTGTACCTGACTTTATCTAATGATGTTGGTTAGAAATAAACGGAACAGATTGAACCCGATTTTTCTACTCAATTTATGCCTTTTTTTAATTGGCTAAAATTAATTACACTAAAATCGGAGCAGAACAGAACAGAACAGAAATGAACAGGGCTAGTGTTTTAAATTGACTACGGTCCGCAATTGACCTTAAACTACGATATTTTTTTGATAATTTATTGAGGATATCTAATTGGACAACTAAGGTTCATAATTGACCTTAAACTAGCGATTGGTTAATTAATATAAGTGGCGCTGGTCAGGAATGATATTTGTTAGTACGGAAGATAATCGACACCAAAATTAGAAATTGTGTAACTGCACCGAGATGAAATACCCTAAAACAAGGCGATAGATATCGGAATAACCTTAGATCAATTAGAAAATTAAATTTTGTAATTTTGGAAATTTTGTTACCATGCGAATTTTGAATTAATAATTATTTAATTTAGTCCGAAAAGGAAAACTTTTATTTATTGGATATTTATTCATTTAAATAGAATTTGAAAGTATTTTTTATTTATATAACTTAGAAATTCCTTTCTTTCATGAATTTTATTTTATTATTAATTTTTATTTCGTCTTTTGAACTTGGGAAAACTATATTTTTACCATTAATAAATAAAACTCTCTTATTGCACACCTACCGGTGGCAGTAATTTAATAAATTATGCACGTAAAGGTGACCCCATTATTGTAAGTATTGTTAAATTATTATAATTGTTTTTTTTAGAGATGATGAAAAATTTAAAAAAAAAATGAGAAAAAAAGGGAAACGGAGAATGGGGGGAGGTCGTAAAGAAAGGGAGAACGGGTGGATATGAAAATCCTCGTGTACTGATAACAATTAAAATGTAAAGATTGACGGGTAGGCATGGCGTAATTGACGATCACTTGTCATTTGAAGTTCGTGAGAGCATGAGCATATCTATTGGGACTAAATGTTTTTAATTAAAGCTTAATTCTTTATTTCATCATATATAGGACGATGAGATTATATTGGTGATAATTTCATAAAGCATATTAAATCTTAATAAACTTATCTAATAAAAAAAACTTAATAATATTTGTGTTTGTGAAAAGGTAAAAAGGGGGGTTTAATAATAATGAATACATCATAAGTTTCGATAAGAAGAAAAAAAATAATAGAATCCCGTAAGATTTCAGACTTTCAGTCTCTAGAGGATGTAGGAAGTACCGAAGTAGGGGTAGAAGACTTAGAATATATAGAATAAGGATATTCGTTACTATTGTCTCAATTTTGTGTAGTAAAAATTACTAATTTTTGTAAATTCTCTCTAGTAAATTTTGGTATTCCACTTCACATGGTACGTTATTTAATGAAACTATCTCTTCAATAGTATCTACCTTACTACAGAAGTTTTTAACACAATCGCTTGTCTCTTTACAGTCAGGACAAAGCTTAGGTGGTTTTCTCCTACTATTGTTACTTGTAAAAAAAAATTTATGAACAAATGGAGGCTTCTCGTCTGTCCTTGTTTCGTGTGACATATTTTGCAATTTTTAAGAATTTTTTATTGCGAAGTAATTCTATATTTATATTTAAAATGCCGATAAGATTCTTTACAAATGTTCCCATTCTCATTATTCTATGTCAAATCTAATAAACCACATAAGTGGCCAAAGGAATTGGCGTTGTTTATTTTCATGATCAATTAAAAATGCAGCGGAGGATACTAGGACAATAAGAAAATGTTTCTTTTGTTATCAAGTGAAACAAAATAATATGGCTAACTAAAGTTCTCTATGTGTACCAGTCCCACGTTTTTTTATGCATCTAACACAGCTTGACTATGATCTTAGATAAATTTCTTATAAAAAGTAAATTTAGTTATATCAATCATAATACACTAGAATTTATTTTAGAGCTTCATTTATTAGCTTTCGACTTTAATACAAATAAATCGTAATGTACGTTATGTAGTATTCAGAACAAGAAAAAAATAGATTTGCTTCAGAAGGAGCGGTAAATATTTCAAAAAAGCAGTTTTAACTAAATAAAAATTTTATTTTTATTTTATAGAAATATGAATCGGCGATTTATCACCGTGGTTTTATTTATTTTTATTTATTTAATTATTTATTTTGTAATAGAAAAAAAATTTTTTTTTTTTTTTTGTAGAATATTAAAATGATCACACTTACCATACATTTTTTTTTTTTTAAAAAAAAAAAAATTACTAAAAGTACACAGATAATTATTCTTGTAAACAAGTATTATTCTTCAGTATCACGAGAAAAACATCGCGGTGCGCATAACGGGAGCGGCCGAGAAGGTCTCCCATCCTCTAGATATTTTATTTTATTTTTTACCATGTATAAATGAATAATAAATAAATAATTAATTAAATACTTAATTAAAGCTTCTTAATTGGTGTTTCATCTTTTTTTAGTGTTACAATTCTATGAAATTGTAACTTTAATTTTGTGTAAAATTTTTTTTTTTTTTTTTTTTAATTATTAATATTTTAATCATATGATTCATAAATATAATAATAATAAAGCAGCTTGGAAATTAATGTTACACATAATAAACAAACCTGTCCTTCATAAAATTTACATGTTACTAATAATTAGGGAGATGAACTTTATCCATCTTACGTTATTCTCCTTATATATGTTGTATGTGGTTTCTGAATACCGGTTGGAAGTCGGATCTTGGCCAGCATTACGAAATCCTAGACCGGCACTATGCTTTAATTCTGGCCAACATCCCGTATCCACATGTGTGGATTCGGAATCCACATAGATTCCGTTTCCACCTACAACATATATAGTGAAATTCGATAAACCGGATTTGGTCCTAAACCAGACTTTTTTGCTGGAACCAAATCACGTATATTAAAATATTTTCGATATACGAGTTTACTAGTAAAGGCTCGAATATTCACTATAACCGTATAACGGATCAATTTTCTAACCAGCTATAGTAAAAATTATTCGATAAACCTTATCACGTGATTTGATACATTTGAAAACCAATTTGACCGAATCATTTTTTTTTTTAATAATATATTCGGCATTTAGTTTGGATATGCAAAATTTGGTTAATATAAAGAAAAAATTATTTCCAATAGTATTATTTAATTTATCAATACTAAAAACAACTAAAATTGAAAAAAATCTAGAGATTTTTTGATTTTTTAAGTTTTTAATTTTTGTTACGTCGCATAAAATTTGTTTTCGTTATACCGGATATCCCGATAAACCAGATATTATTAGTGCAACCGATAAATCCGGTTTATCGAATTTCACTGTTACAGTGTACAAGTAATATAAAGTTGCCTTACATTCCGTACTTTACACAAATCACGTGATATGATCTTCTATTTATTTTATCGTCTTCATATTGCCGTGCGAGAAAAGCTGCCACCTTTTCCATGACAAGTGACGTTAAGTTAAATTAAATAAAATTAAGAACTTTATTAAATAAAATGTGTTGCTTGGTTTATTATTACATAAAAATATAAAACGCAAAATTTTTAGGTTATAAATATAAAATTTTATTGAGTTATAAATTATTATATTGTGAAAAATAATTCTAATGTAAAAATTTAATGTCCAAATGTTGTCGATTTATATAACTAATTTAAGGGTACTTTATTTTAGGGTTATTAGCTTCTAGTTACATCATAATTTCTATTATTATTAATGTTTATCACCATGTGGGTCTACAAGTTTCAGATTCGTTTCATGATAAAATGATCTTCATCACGTGATTAATTATTTCAATGAAGTGGGTTAATATTAGTGTTACTTAATTTACCACTACCTATATATTATGGTAAATTTATGACACTACATGAAAAATGAAAGTAAAAAAATTACAAATATATGCATGTTATGTTTATATTTTTTTATTGAGTATTTTGTACAATATCTTTATTATAATATTTTAATTGTTTAATGTATACAAATAAGAAGCTACCCTATAAAATGAAATGTATTAAATTTGTTTTATATTTGTGTTCATGTGTTAAAACTTCTAAAAAGGCACAAGTTTGTCTGATTTATGACTTATTATAAAAGAACAAAAATTAAATAAAATGGTGCTGTCTTATATATTTATTTATACACATGAGCACAAATATAAAACATGTTTAACACATCTCATTTTTATAGAGCTATTATTATCATATATATATATATATATCACTATATTATTTAATTTTCTTTTAAATAACTCTTTCTTTAAAGATAACTTTTCTTTTAAAATCTTATTTCTCTCAAAAGGATCTAAAGGCAAAAGGACTTACTTGATTGTATACTTTCATGCGTTAAATGTAGGAAAATGTTTTTGAAAAAAAATATAGGAAAACATATACCTAAAATTCTTCAGTTTTAGGTCTTTTTTGCTGGAAATTTTTAAGTTCAGATAAGTAAAATATAGAATAGGAGTTTCTATTATTTCTTTTAAAATTTTCTTGCATTAAGAATAAAATAATATTTTTTTATATTGTGTAAGATCTTGCTGGGAACTCATACATCTTTTGTTATAAAAAAATAAAATAAATTGAAATGACTGAGCGTCTTCTATCGATTGAAGATCATTGAGGAAAAAAGGTGGTTTTCAGCCCGCTTGTTAATCATCATAATAAGAAATCTCTCGAACTTTTTGACCAATCAGATCACATCGGTCTATCAATTGAGGTGCTTGAGAACGCCCAAAATCGATAGTTTTGGAATTTAGCCATCATTAATAAAAACTTATCATACTTATTGTTATGGGTATTATGTCATTATTTTCCCTTGTTATACTTGCTATAGCATAATTATCACAACGTTTTGGGACGCGTTTATTTTGCTATGACGCGTTACGCTATCATAGATGACGAAATGTATTCAATTTTTACTATGTAGAATCACACTTTTTTAATAAATATTTGTTTTAATAGAGAATATTATTAAATTTTGGAAACTTATTCCCTCCACAGGTTTATTTTTCGACACCAGGGTGGCGCTGTCAGATTTGGCGGTTTGGTACACGATTTAATTTAGAATTACTTTAGGCTTACGAATAGTTTGTCCCTGTAATTTGTATCGTGACTTTGTTCACATGGAAATTAAAAATAAAAATAAAAATTTTGGAAACTTATATGTAGAGGGAGGCTGCGCCATTCCACAAAAAAATTTTTTGGATTTTTCCATGTAAAAAATTTTATTCGTTACTTCTGTAAAATCTCCATAAAAATGAGCCTTTCACGGATCCATTCACGGAAAATGTAAATAATTTGATAAATTCCGTAATATTAAGGTTATTAATTCCATTAATTCCGGAGATTTGAGCCTTTTACGGAAAAAAGATGGAATATAAAAAACGGATTAACTTTTTCTACAGGGTTATTTTTTCGTATTGAATCGAAATTTTTTAATGTTTGATTGGATAAACTCGTTATTAAACATCCGGTTGAAATTTCATGTAAGATAACTTATTAAAATGATAAAGGTGAAGCCTTCCGCAATTTATTCTTCATATTTGAGGCACAGTAGTGAATTTTTTTTTTTACCAACGTTTTTATAGATTACGCAGTAGCGAACACACCCAATTCGTTAGATAAAGATAAAAGTACGTTTGTCACATAATTAATTGAGTTATTTTTAACTTCGTCAAATATAAAAGTATATAATTAAGGTAATTTTTAATTTCGTCAAATATAAACGTACACTTAGGTAAATTTTAATTTCGTCATAATATACTATCGTCTAATAATAATGGAGATACTCTTAAAATGTAAAATTATGAAAATATTTTTAAAATGCTGTTGGCCATTGCGCGCGCAGCAACTTAAAAACTTGAATAACCAAATACTACAAGTCTACAATTACAACCGTTTAATCATTTCTTTTGCTAAATCAAAATATTTTCACAAGTCATTCCCATCAATACCACATCTACAACCCTACTATTAAATAAAAGTCCATAGCAACTTGTTCAATACTCATATTTTCATCTTTCAATTCTTCAATATTAAGTTTTTCAATTAAATAATTTCTAACAGCTTGTGATCCACGGTATCTTACTTTGGCTTCAAAAGCATCCAAAAATGGCCTTAATACCGTATCTCCTCGAAACTGTCCAATAGAGGAATAAACTTTGAAGAACAAAAAATTAGTATTCGTCATATTACAAATACCGTAAGTTTTAAGTAAGTTTTATAATACTGTAAGCTTATAAGTAAGTTTATGCATTACCTGCTATACGATAATTTTCCCATTCAAATACATTTTTAATGAGAGGAATCCATTTGTTTAACTAAATCTAGAATAGAATGAATTGACTTTGACTCCCCTCCTGACTTAACGTTTCGAGATAAGATACTATGGAGGATTTAACAGTTTCATAATTTGCTTTAGGATAACTTGCCAAACGAAAGCCCTATAAAAAATTTTTATCCGAATATTTCCATTATTTCTCCGTGTCTTCCGTAAAAATTCCGTGAAAATGATACATTCACGGATATCCGTGTTAGCGAGATGAAAATTTCCATGATTTAAGGCTATAAATTCCATTAAAATGATACATTCACGGAAAAAACATGGAAAGATAAAACACGGATCAGATTTTTTACAGGGAAGGCACCATCTAAATTAAAAACATTAAGAGGTCTATTAATAATAAACACCTTTAAGAAAAAAAGGATGGCAAATAAAAAAGATTAATGTCTCAATTTATATAATTTATTATATTAAATAAATAATAGGCTTTAATTACTTTTAATCCGTTTTGATTTGCCCATTTTACAACGGTTTTAACCCGTATCTTTCCAATAAATTGATAGACATCTGTACAGCAGTAAATCCATGATTTTCAGTTTTTCTTACGCGGTTTGAAGCTTCCTTTGCACGATCACAATCGACTAGATCATAGGGATGATCACGGTTCACTAACCGATGACTCGAACCTGAGCCGGTTCATAGGCGGTTCGGTTCGGTTCGGTTCGGTTCGCGAGTGAACCGGGTGAACCATCGACTCAATTGATTTTTTATAGTATTTTAGATCATCTAATTAATGATAGTCAAAATCTAATATTGCTTACCAAAGCTAATTTTAGATTTCCAAAACTAAAACACTTGGCTGAAACTCTGGTCGAAACTTCCGAAACTGGCCGAAATTACCAAAACTTAGCCGAAACTTCCGAAATTTAGCCAAAGCTACCGAAATTATCTGTAAATCACGTGACATGCCATTTTTGAATGTTTGTGTAACACATTTTCGGTTTTTGTAAGAAACAAGATTTCCTTTTTTGGAAATTAGTGTAACATCACGTGACATTAGTTAACTCCGGCCAGAATTACAGAATTTAGCCGTGAGCACCCGGTTCACTCACGAACCGAACCGAGCCGAACTGCCTATGAACCGAACCGGCTCGGTTCGAACCATGAGCATCCCTATTAGATCATAAAAAGGAAAAAGTGTTTATCATCTTCAGCTAAAGAAAAACTGTTGGAGCTAATGCCATAAGATAATATCTGCCCCTTTTGAATTGCTTCTTCCATTGTTTCAAATGATTGACTGATTCGATCCAACATTTGATTTTGATATCCTATTATAATAAAAAAGATAAATAATATTGTGGATAAATATAATACTACTCCAAAGTTTTTATATAACAATCAAACCTTTCACATTTTCATTTGAAGATTTAATTTTATCCATAAGAAAATATTCTGGATTATGAATGAACAAGATATCAACACGATAAGCTGCGGGATCCCTATGAAAAATTAAAAAAGGTTATAAATATAATTCACTCTCATTTTTAGTTTGCTCTTAATTTAATCTCAAATTAGTTTGCTCTTATTTACTCTCAAATTTAATTTGTTCTTATTTACTCTTAATTACTTAATTTACTACGCTCTCACTTTAATTTGTTCTTAATTACCCTCAATTTTTATTCTCGATTTACTCCCACTTTAACTCTCAATTCAACTCGTAATTCACTACCACTCACTTAATTCGCTTTCAATTTATTCTCATTACTCTCAGTTAATTCACATAATTTACTCTCAATTTAATTTATTACTCTAAATTTATTCGTACCTCATAAATTCTGGATGGATGCAATGGAAACAATTAGGAGAATAACGTACGATATGTTCATCTGGAATATTCTAGTAACCATAATCTAATTAATTTCCATCATTACCTTTTTTTAAAAAAAAAAAAATTCGTAACTTCACCATTCTGATACAAAGTCATATTATTTCGAATGTACCCATATTTAGTTGCAAGACATTGTTTCAGAACGTGGTAAAAGTTTATCATTAGAACTCGTTAAAACTTTTCCAACTAAACTTTCACTTTCTCCTTCGCAATAATTGGTCGGAGTGTTAATTACATTTATATCAGTTTCCTTACTTAAAGCTTTACATAGAGCATTTTCTTCCTAAACACATACGGTACATTCCAATACCGACACGCGATAATTTTTCAATAGCCATAATTGATGAAATTTAATGAAGAAAGAAAAAAAGTTATAAAGTTAAAAAAGCTTATGATTTTTGGTAATGAAATCGTTTATTTTAAAATTCCCACATTTCCTTTATTTGTTTGATCATGTTTACATCAGAAGTAATTATATTTACATATTATTTACATTTTTAACCCTATTTATATACAGAAATTCTACGTTATTTTTTTTTTTTTAAAAAAAAAAGACGTTCTGAAGAAAAAGTAATAGTCGATTTTAACTTTCATGGAAAATTTCGCTCCAGAATGTACTTTTGAGTACATTATTTCTAATGTTGGAAATCTCTCATCAGAGGTTTATATACTGTACGTTAAATTTTGCGAACTTTATTGGCAAATGGAATTTGCTCAAGTATATTCCTTTTTATGAGCTTTGAGTTCTGGTTTCAATAAAAAAAAAATTGGGCGAATTTAATGCATTAGTTAATGCTAAAATTTTTGTATGATCGATAAATGATCGGCAAATTCAGTCAAATGAATATAACTTGTCGATCATTTCATTGATTTTTTGATAAACATTTTTTATTTAAAAAATGAAGTATGGTAAAATAATTTCTATTTAAAATCTGATTTATTTGATAAATCATAAAATATTTCAATCAAATTTTTCCAAAAATTCATGTAATTTTTAGATCAAGTACAATTCAGCGGTTAATTATTTAAAAATTAACTTTATATAGGAGGATATTTTCGTAACGATTATTGAAATTTACGGTTGCCTACTGACGGTACTGTATATATTAATTTAGTGCTAAAATACCTACCATCATTGGGAATGTTAAAACTATAAGGTCTACTATGAAATGCTGTAAAATTATCAAAGTGATCAAACAATTTAAGTTAGATATTGTATTAAAATATTAACAAATTATTGCATATACCTTCTTGTTCTTCTATTTTATAATTTTATTAAATGAAAAATAAAAAATGTTAGTATATTCTTTAACGTAATATAATATTCCAAAATAATATTAATAATTTTACCTTCTGTTGCATTTTTCGGTTCAGGAAAATTTTCAAATCTGTAAATTTTATTAGTATAATTTTTGTTCATAGAATCAATAGAATTATGTAAATAGTAATTATTTAATATTTGATGATTTTGATCGGAACTTATTTGCTTTTGGCTCTCATCTTGATTGCTTTGAAAATCTAATAATAATTGCTTAATTTCACTCATTAATGTATAAGTATTAGGTCTTTTCGTTAAATCAGCATCCCAACACTGTTCCATTAATTTTTTATATTCCAAAGGAGTTCCTGGTACTATTTTTGGTCTCATTCCATTTACAATATTCATTGCAAGATCATAATTATGTTCATAATTGACAAATGGTGGTTTTCCAGATGATATTTCCCACATAAGTATACCTATACTATAAATATCAGATTTAAAACTAGTCTTTTTCTCAATAATTACTTCTGGTGCTATATAAGGAAGATTTCCATATATACTATTTAATGGCTTATCAACAGGTCCACAAAATCCAAGATCACTAATATGAAATCTTTCATTATATTCTAAGATATTTCCAGAATGCAAATCACGATGAATTTCTTTTTCTCCATGAATTCTGTAAATTCCATCTATTATATCATAAGCAATTTGTATCCTTTCTTTCCATATAAGTCGATTATGGTTTTGTTTCAGGTATGTTCCTAAATCCATTTCCATTTCATTCATTACAAGCATATAATTTGCACTTAATGGATCTTTTGTTAAACCAAAACATTGTACCACACCTGCCCATTTATTACTTATAGTTAAATGAGATATGCTCTATAAAAATATATATAATTATTAACTAATTTCAAAAATAATAATACAATATTTTTAATTACATACCTCTTCAAACCAACTTCTATTAGCATTTTCAACATTCTCTAACTCTTTAAGTATTACATCATGATTTCCGTATCTTGTTAATTGTTTTTCTTTAAAATCCCATTCATAATATCCTCCACCTATCCATTCTGCTGTATAAATAACAGAACATCCACCTTTAGTTAAATATTTAACATTTTGTATTTTATTGTATGGGATCCATTCAACTATCATATCCGGTCTAAATGTTTTCATCTGACATTTTTGTATTAAATTATCAATGTCATTATTTCCAGATGTCCAATTTGAAAAATTTTCTTTTAAATAATTTCGAACGCAATGTTCACAATATAATGTAGCTAAACATTCATCTTGACAATGTTCACAAATTCTTTTTGTTCCTTCATTAAAAAGAATTTTATGGTTATCATAATCTTTAGTTAATAATTTTATTACTTTAGATATTTCATCTTTTGTAAGAGATTCATCAGCAAGAACAGTTTGTTTTTTAAATTTATGTTGTTTTTCTAGATCATTATGAATAGTATAATTCAATAATGAATATGTTCTATTAAGAGCAGCCCAAACAACGTCGTCTCGAATATCAGTCATAATTTTTTTTTTTCAGTTTTGTATGAAAAGGAATATTTAAAATTTTGAAATGAAAAAGTTGACACGGATTCCTAATTCCGAAATTATACAAATATATTAAATCCTGGACGAGCTAGACAAAAAAGGCAGCTTATAAAGACTGCGTTCTAAAGTCCAGGTTTGACAAAAGATCAGCTTAGTGCTGAAAAGATCAGTTTACTGATGCATATTCACATGATTTTAAGTCATTTGGCATAATTTTTCAAAAAAAAAAAAAAATTTTGAAGAGAATTTCATTAGAGAATTTTGTAGGAGAATTTTCTTGATATGATGCCGGAAGTCTATACTCGACAATAAAAATGTAACACTTAAAATCTTTCAACTCCTTAGAAAAATACAATAATAAACCAGTAACTTTGAGATAAGCTCTATAAATTATTGGTCAGCCATGTAAAAGTTATAAGCATTTGAAATTGCATGATTTTCATATGATCAGCCCAAATTTGAAACAAAATAAAGTTGGCCAGAACTTATGATAATTCGGGCCGACTCCATGCATTGTGATAATGCCAGCCCGAATTATCATAAATCTGAATGTAATTTTTTGATCACATGATATAGAATCTAAAAATCACGTGATTGTCGAGTCTCATTTTATTGGTAATTTTAATATAGTAATATTTTTTTGGCGCCTAACAACTATCTTATATAATTATACACCGAAAAAGAAAAAACGTTTCAAAATTTTTATAGATTTTATGCTCGACATTATGGAAAAAATTGACGCCTCCATTTGGAATCTTCGTAACCAACACGTTAAGGATTGGGAACGATATCACTCCATTTCCAAGGTCAAAAAGACGAAGACATTGATCTATTTTGGATCAGACCACCTTAATCGAGGATAATAACCAATGCAATATGCGACGCATTTATACTCATCGACATGTCACAACCACACCATATAGTCGCATGGTAGATTTTATGACAATTGCGCCCATATTAGATGGACATCTAGTAATTATTACATTTGGGTTTTAGGCAACCCATCGAGATCGAATTTGGTTCGATAATATAGATTTATTTTACTTCTTTATCATATAATATTATAGGAAATAATTTAGATGTTAGATGACATTTTTATGTTTTTAGTTAGTTTTTTTTTATTCTTCCGGGTTGGCTAGTGAGTTTTGGGCGTGGTCTTGGATCCCTCCCGTCTCGCTCCTCTTCAAGGTCAGAAGTTATCGTCTGTCCGGGTGTGTTGGGCTTGCGGTTTGATTGTTAGTGATAGAATTACTTTCGGCTCAAAATATTTGTTGTCCTTGTAATTTGTACTACAATTTGGTTCCTTCTTAAACATAAAAATAAAAATAAAAATATTATTTTTTTTGGCGGAGAATTTTTCCTTAATAAGAGATTTTTCTTGCTTTGATAAAAATTTATATTAGAAAATTGTTCTGTTTTTTTTTGATAGAATTTCGTTGGAGAATTTTGTGAGTTTTTAAATTTTCAATAAGAAATTTTATAATAGAAAATTTCATTAGAAAAAAATTATTTTTCAACGAGAATTTTGTTTTAGCTGAAAATTTTTTCAACAAACTTTATATAAATTTGAATAATTTTTTATAAACCTTTTAATGAATATTATAAATAAATTGTTTAGTAAATTTACTTAGTATTTACTATTATAATGTTTAGATTTTATCTTGATTTTAGTTTCAGAATCTTTTTATATGGTTGGTCTTAACATCTCGTCCGGGTCAGTTTTTGTAAAACTTTGAAAAATTTAAAAATTGAAAAATTTTTTTTTGTTTTTTTTGTATTTTTTAAAGAGGTCATGTAAAATTTTCTATTATAAAAAACAAAAAATAAAAACAGTCCCCGAGTCGATTCTAAATTTTCAATGTTATGTGAACCGAAAAATCAAATTGCGTGGCCTTAAATTAAATATTCACTTTTTTTCATCAATCACATGAAGGTTGGTAATACATTTCTTAAAGAGATACTACTAATCATTATTTACTGAATACATCTATACAGTGAAATTTGATACACCGATAATGGATCATAAGTAGAAATCTTGATATATTGGAATTGGGTCTGGAATGGATTATCATAACGTATAATTAAGATTTTTGACAAATTTTACTAATGGAACGGATGGTTCCATTATATCGAATTTCACTGTGTACCTACCCTATATACATGCTGTCGGAATATAATCACAGTTTACAGTAGAATATGCCATAATGTCGTAATTTTATACCAAATACTGTACAGTCGACTCTGGTTATAACAAACCTGTTTGTACCGAAACCTCGTTATACCAAATCATAATTTCCAGAACCGATTTTTTATAAATAATTTCACTGGGTATAACGAACTTTTATAATAAAACACTATATAACGCCGAACCGAACTTAACCAGCCCCTATATATCAGCTATATAGTAACTTTATACTTTCTATAATGAACGGTCATGTGACTATATAGTAGTCCAGGCCAAATTTATAGTGCTGGCCAGGAATTACTGGTAATTTTTTCGAAAATTTATGTTAAAGGAAATTATAATTTTGGCCAGCATTACAAATTTGGCCTAAATTACCTATAAAGAAAACTAGTTCGGTAAATTATATAACGAATTCACTATATGATACCGAACTAAACCTCCTGGAACGGAGGGATCGTTATACCAAGAGTTGACTGTAATCATAAAAAACCATATGTCGTAATTGTTTAAAATGCCAATGCCATAATATATTTTCAAAGAAACTCATGCAGCCTGATTTCGTGATTCAAAAATTGTAATAGTTCAATAATTCAATTTTTGGATGCTAAAAAAATGAAAAAAGGAACCGTAAACAACTATAACTTTATTAAGCGTCTTCCAACTATTCACTTTATGGGAGGAATATTTGGTATCAATGTGAAATTCATTCTTATTCTAATTAAAATAGCGATACTAAGTGCGAAATTTCACCTTTTAAGATTCAGAATAATATCTCACTATTTGTTAATCAATATTTGATATCTTTGTAAATGTGACAACAAAAGTATATTGGATTGAGTTCAAGTTTTAAAGACCCTTGGTTGATTCAATTATATCAGAAGTTTGAATATTTATGATGGCCCTTTATTGGCAAGAACATTTAATTTAAAAATATTCGCTTATCATTGAAGTTACGATGTTCGTTAGAACAAGATTAAAAACCAAAATATAACAGTACATAGAGATTACTTGATTGTTGTAGTATATTACAAACTTTTTGTAATTGAGGTGAAAGAAAACTATTAAAATATAATTTCATTTCCAATAATTAATTTTTCTATTATTCAATTAATAATTATGCTGGATTGGTGATTATCTATTAAAGTTTTCAATATTTTTATTTTGTACATATAGGTAAATCTCGTAACTCCGCATATGAAACTCGACCTTCAAAATAAAAATTTATTAATTATTGATCATTATCGATCAAAAATTCGCACAGTAAATTTTTTGATTTCAGGCGAATAAAGGATAAGATTATGTTTGGGATGAATCAATTAAGTCTGGATCGAATTATATTATTAAAGATAACAGGAATGTTGAGTAGTTTCATCATTATGTAGTACTAAATGATATAGAAAAAGCGGCATCGAATTTATTTATACAGTTTGTATGTTTAATTCCGGTCTTTATTAAAAAAAAATCAATAAATTTTTAATAAATATAGCAACTAAACTTGATCAATATTAAAATCATGAATTTAAGGTTACACAATCGTCATAATATGATATTAATTAAGGATTCGACTTCAAACTTTAAATTTTACTGCTTTTCTTATTATTTACAATAAACAATGTCTTCGAAATTCTGGGCAGAGTTATCTAGCGATTACGAAAAACTTTTTGAAACAGAAACTGGATATGACGTTATTATCTATGCCGGAGAAGAACAAAATATTAAAGAAATTCATGCTCATTCAAATATTTTGTGTGCTTATCATAAACAAAAAAAAAAAAAAAAAAATTTTAAAAAGTTATCTTCGTTTCAATTTTAGTAAAGATATGAATTTTATATACACAGTAAAATAAACTGTTTGTTTGAGGACACTATTAGACTAAAAAAAAATCTTTTACTTAACGAGTATTGTTAGTATTGTTACATTGGAGGCGCAGCAAAAATTTCAATGATATACCGTACGCACGTACGCCAAAACCTTTCCTTTTTTTCACAAGTTTTAGTGCAACATGGTACAAATCTAATTGTTAATATGTATGTATGTTTTTTTTTTAAAAAAAAAAAATAAACTTCTTTTCCCTAAAAAATGACGAAAGGATATTCATTAAAACAAGATTTGAGATTATTAATAAATAATCCAAAATATAGTGATATAGAAATTTTATGTGAAGATGAAAAGAAATTATATGGGTGTAGAGCAATTTTAGCAGCAAGATCCGAAGTATTTGATAGACTACTTTATAATGAGATGAAAGAAAGTCATGAAACCCAAATTTCTTTTCCAAAAATTCATTCCAATGGAATGAAAATTATATTAGAATATATATATACGGGGTCAGTTAAAAAAGAATCTTTAACAAAAGATAATACGGTTGAAGCTTTTTATGCAGCAGATTATTTTCAATTACTTGAACTACAAGATTTTATTATAAAAATTATCAAAAATACTTTGGAGATGAATTATGCAAAAAATTATTCACCAGAATTATTATCTAAAGTTGCAGAAATAATACCATTAACAGAAGACAATATTCTTGCTAATTTATTGGTCAAAGAGGTGGCATCTATTACATTAAATGATGTTAATTTTGATCGGTTGTCTATTGCAGGTCTTAAATATCTTTTATCTTTCACACGCGAGAAGAAAGATATACCCTTTGCAACTCGAGAGTATGAAGTTTTTCGGTATAGTGCAATCCTAGCAGCAAGACAAGTTTCTGATGATGCATATAGAACTCTTAAGAAAAAGCTACCAACTTTAAAACAAATGGAGAGTTGCTACGATATAGAATTTGAATTTTCTATCGATCATCAAAAAGTCACTAAAGAATTGGAGCCTTTTATTAAATTTATTGACTTTAATCAAATTAATGCTCAAACAATAGCTGATATTATCGAACCATTAAAAATTGTTCCAGACGAAATAATTTTTAGTGTTTATCGACATAAAGCCCTATTAAATAATTTAGATTTGAATAATATTCGAGGAATACCAATTTATAGAATTAAAGAATCTGATCTTATTTGGGATGAGTCAGCATGTGGACCAAAACTTATTATTGAGGATAATGGGAAAGTTGTACGTGCACCGAATGATCTTAATTCGCATCAAAATGTTAGAGCTAAAATGATATTAGAAAATAAAGGTATATATGAATGGGATATAATATTTGAGAAAGTTGAAGTTGCTTGGGTTGGAGTATGTGCATCGGAAAATTTTAATTATGAAAAATATGCAGGAGATCAGCCTTCCGTTGTATGGGTAATTAGCACTGGTGGTAATTATAGAAATAAAAATTATTGTCCTAATTTTGGAAATGATGCAAAAATCACTGTTCATTTAGACATGAATAAAAGAGCTTGTACTTTTACAATCAATGGTATAAAGTATCTGGAGACATTAGAACATGATGGCTTGCCAGAAAAACTTTATCCAGTAGTGTCATTGTCTCGTCCTGGGCGCATTCGAATTCAGGCTCATCAAAAAAATTTAATATAGTAAAAAGAAAGTTTGAAAATGTTATTATAATGAAGATAGCTTGATAAAGGTTATAATATAGCAGTTTTGATTATTTTGGATAAACTCTTAATAGAAACTATCAATCAAGTCATATTACTGTGCGAAAAAAATATATTTATTCCTATTTTTTGAATTTATGTCACTTATGCTAGTAAGATTAAACGAAATTGAAATTACAAATATGAATTACTGTATTTATGTCTGGTAATATAATGGTGATAAAATTAGAGATTAGCAAGTATGATTCTTTGCATCTTTAACAATATAAAAAGACCAGACAAAGAGTGTATTACTAGAAGTAAATATTTTGTTTTGAGAGTTTAAGACAGCCAAAAAAATACTTTGCACTCATAATAAAATATAATGAAAGTAATTTATTTTTAAGGACTTTTTTATCCTTGTGTTTTTTTGAATATTTAATCGCTTTCACATTATAAATATATCTTTTTTTATAAAACTTTCAGTTCTGGAAACCTTTATTTTTTTGGTTATGTTATTGACCATTTGGTCGATAATTCCTGAATAGGCTTTAGAAGTTTTGAAGTGGAAGATGCGACATTATTAAAATATCATAATAAGAGATGGCGACTTTCAATATAGATTATATCAGGCTTAGACATTAAACTAAGATTTATAGAATTATAATTACAATCTTTGTCTGTTGTTACATACTCAGCGAGTCATTTAGAGTTAATTGACAATATCAACAATTTCCCTAGAAATATTAAAATATTAAAATCTCAAAATCTCAGTTTGCGAACGATGAAATTTATTTTTTTTTTTTTTTACTGATCTTAAACTAGCCTATATTTAAAGGATGAAACTAGTTGAAATGATTTAATTCGAATAATAATTTTTTATTTTTAAAAATGTAGCGGTTAATTCAATCTTTGTTTTACGACATGGTTCAGTTGGTGGTGACAACTTTCAGAATCGACTATGGAAACTTTCTATCTGAGCTTCAATCATTATTTGATTTTATTAATCATGTATAACTAGAGATTCAAAAAAATAAAATAAAGATAAAAGATCAAATTAAATACATATTTTGTTCCCTATGACTCTCATAACTCATTTTATGCATGCTAAGTGGAATGATATTCTCTATTTCTTATAAATCACATGAAATTAGATTATTTTTTAGTTTTTGCTAAATAAATTCACCTACTTTTATCAATATCTGATATAATTCTGTCGAAATATACTTATGGTTGCGACGGAATTTGTCACAATGCTGTAATGCTGCAACTTTTTATAACGAATGCTGTAACCGTAGAAACTGTCTTATTATTTAAACAAGACTAATGCCGTAATTATTACCCTTGAATCCTGATTTCGTGATGATAAATATTAAGTAAAATTATAATAATTCAATTTTCGGATGCTCAGGTATGTCATTGATAGTGGCTAGCATTGTATAATATATCTGCTGCCTGCTGCAAAACAGACTGATTTTTTTAAGTCTTTCAAAATATTCATCTTATAACAGGAATATTTGTATAAATTTGAAATTTATTCTAATTAAATGAGATTTCACATTTTGAGATTCGGGATAACATTTAAAGCTATGGAAATAAATTAAAGAAAGAGACTTTACTGTTTCCAAAATATAAGTATTGATGCAATTAATATTTAAAGAACTTTGTAAATTGGCAATAAAAGTATAAATCAACTATTTGATTGAGTTCAAATTATAAACTTGGATGTATTCAATTACATAATTCTATTAAACTCTAATTAATTCTATCATTACAAAAGTTAAACATTATATAGACTTTATAAAAATTCATTCTATCATTTATTGGTATAAACTTTTAATTTTAAAATAATCGCTTACCGAGGTTAAAACATTGCTATCGATAAATATTAAGAGGATATTTGTTAGAACAAGATTAAAACCAAAGTATAGTGGTATAGAAATTTTATACTGAGATTACAAATTAAGATCTTTAGTATATTATTCTTTTTTGGAAAAAAATGAAAAAAATAACAATTAATATTTTTGAACGGAAATTATATTAGAATACGTTCATACAGGGCCTATTAAAGAAACTCTTCAACAAATGTTAGAAGTTCTTAATTTATCGGTTGAAGAAGTAGTAGATATTAGTTTTGAGATAAGGATGTTCCAAACTGCGAAGCGGCTTGGATGATATTTCAATATATATATCCGATAATTGTGTTATTATGTAGACGTCCAAGATCATACTTCATATATGTAAGAATAATTAAACTCAATAGGCTACCTTATTGTAGTAACAGAGTAATCTTATCTATAAAATTTAATATTTAATATAAATGACGTAATGTATCAAAAAAATATCTCAAATATATTGATGCAATAATAATTATTTGTACCTGATGACTATTTGGCTTCATAATAACAATTACTTAATTAAATAATAATTTTGAATTTAGGCGATTGCCCATCGAACCTTTTGATATTTTTTAAGTAAACTAAATATTTATTATCGATTATTATCGATCAAAAAATTTGCTAATTAAATAAAACCCTTATGTAATTACAGTGTGTAATTATGTTTGGAATGAATCTATTATTAAAGATAGCGCGAAAGGTGTAGTATGTCACCTTTATTTAGCTCTCTTTTAGTATTTTTAGTATACTAAATGGTATTGAAGAAATAAATATTTTAAACGCTTAATTCTAATAAATAAATGTAATAATAAATTAAATACATAAATCATGCATTATAAACAAAAAAAATTATTTTTTGAAAAGATCGATATAAAAAGTTTCAAGTTTAATCGCGCTATAATTTTTTAATTATATACAGTCAAACCTTTATATAACGATATGTCGGGACATATATGAAATTTTTAGAAAATATCGTTATATCAAAGTTATACCGATATTTATATGTCCTCACATATAGTGGGAAAATAAAATTTTATCGGTATATCAAGTTTTTAATAGTATATCGGTATATCGAATATCGGTATATCGAGGTTAGACTGTATACAGCAAATAAATTAAAACGGTCCTAAACATTGTTTGAGAATAACATTAAGTAATTTCATTCAATTCAATATAGTATTAATCAATAAACTTTTGTCTGACGTTGGAGGCGCAGCGAAAAATTTAATGATATACTTGTACGTTGTAAGACCTAAGCCCGTGATAAATCACGTTGCCACCTTAGGTATTAACAAAATATCTCTTTATTAATAATATAAATAAATACAATAATATGCTTGGTTTAATAACATTAAATAACAAATAAATAATTCATCATCGATATTTGTTCAAGAATGTCCTTCTCCAAAGGTGATCTTCAAGCCCTTTTATAATTGTTTTTGTGTAACCAAATTCATAATTTTGATTCATGGATTTAAATTATCAAAGTATTTCCATGATTTTAAAGTATTTCCATTATCTTAACTCTGTATCCATCTGATCGTCATTAACTCCTGAATTATGATTTATAATACTAACGTCATGATCAGCAATTTAGTCATTTGACACCTCAGATCACTTGACTTCATTTAATTTAGCATCTTTCGGACCTTTATTTATCCTTAAATCTCGTGACTAATAGTTTAATGTCATCTCGGACCAATTATCCTTGAATCACCTGCTCAATAGTTTAACGACTTTTCGGTCTAATTATCCTGATTCTCATGACTAATAGTTTAACGACTTTTCGGTCTAATTATTAATACAACTAAAAATAAATTAAAATTTCTATACACTAAGATTAAATGTAATACTGCGCCTCACAATTAATAAATTTACTATGTATACTACGGCATTACAACTATCCCCCGCATGAAAATTTAATGCCCTCATTAAATTTATTCTAAGAATCGAACTCGTGTCTCGAAGTGGTAGGTGCGAATTATACCACTAAATCAAGCATGCGTTGTTACTTGACTGCGTCCTGCGGCTGTTCCCGTGGTTTGTCATGTGTTCTTTTGAATTTCACGGTTTTCTTGTACCGGATTTCACTTAGGTCTTTCTTTGGAATTTTTCATTAGTTTTTCCTACTTTTCCAGAATTATTTTTATGTCATGTGATTTTATTTCACATGATTATAAAATTATCTTTATTTTTCTAAGTCCATTGATGATGGTTATCATTTACTCATCGGTGTATGGTAAGTCTTTAATAATTCTCCATTTACAGGTGTTTTCTTGATTACACCCTTAATATCTTTAATTTTGTAGGCTCCGTTTGGTAGTATTTCATGAATGTAAAATGGTCCCAAACATTTTGATTCCAATTTTCCAGATAATTGTTGTGCTTTGGCTTTATCATAAAGTAATATTTTATCTCCAATTCCAAAGGTATGTTCTTTAATTATTTTTCTGTCATGATACTCTTTTTGTTTTATTTGAGATTTTAATATTTGTTCTTTGGCTTCATATCGGATTTTTGGTAATTCTTCTAATAATCCAACTATTCTATCACTAAGGTTGATTACTTTGATATATTCATCCATTATTGTCCGTACATTTCTACCATATATTAAATAAAATGGTCGAATTATTGTTGAACTGTGCTTTTTATTCCTATAGGCGAATAATATGGGTGCTATCTTTTGATCCCAATCATCCTTAGTTGATAATTTTGCTAATGCTTGACCTAATGTTCGATTGAATCTTTCAACCAATCCGTTTGTCTCCGGATGATAACTTGTAGAAAAATTCCATTTAATTTTGAATTTTTCCATTAGTTCTTTAATCATTTCATTATTGAAATGACTTCCTCTATCACTCAATATTTTCATCCACCTCTTTTCTAATGAATTTACCTTTTTCATCGTTTTCTTTGTACCTCTTTTGAGCTATTGGTTCAGTGCCTTCCTTTAATCTTATCTCATGTTTCACCAGATTTGTCCTGTTATATTTTTCACCATCGTACTCAAATATATCCTTATATTTTTCTACTAATACTTTTAATTTACCATTTTGTTCATTGGTTATATCCCCTACTTTAAATTTTTCAGTAAATTTTTCATGATCATTTATATGCTTCTTTATCGTCTCTTCAGTATCATTCTGACCAAGACTTATACTTTAAAATTTTCATTTTCATAATTCTCATAATCATCTTCATATATGTTGTATAAATCATCTTGGTATAATTCATCTAATAATTCATCATCAATTAATGTATCTTCAAATCCTTTGATGGTCTTTAGTATATATTTTACTGGTACATCCATGGTTTCATCATCCATTTTAAGTATTATTGTTTTATCTGTGTAATCTATATTCGCCTTAAACATATCTAATACTCCATTCCCTAACACAATTTCATTCTTTCCAGAATCAATTACTTCGACCTTAATGGGTACCTCCTTATCCCCAAACTGTATGTATAT